AACATATCACTTTCCTCTAGTTCTTAAATGCTTCCACCCCCAACCCCCACTATCATGATCCCAATTCTACCTTACAAATCTGGCTAGGCCAGAGGTTGTACACTGGTACAGATAGGAACTGGAAACACAGGGAATCCAGGACAGATAAACCCCACAGGACCAATATTGAGTGTAACCAATAAGGGTATAAGGGGAAGGTGTGGGGAGATAAGGGGGAACTGATCACAATGATCTACCTATAACCAACCCCCTATCAGGGGGATGATCCCTTCAGGACCAGTGGTGTGAGTGATGATACAGGGAGGATGGAGGGAGGGTGGGGTAGAAAGGGGGAACCAATTACAAGGATCTACATATAACCTCCTCCTTGGGGGATGGACAACAGAAGAGTGGGTCAAGGGAGATGTCGGACAGTGCAAGATATGACAAAATAATAATTTATAAATTATCAAGTGTTCATGAAGGAGTGGGGAGTGGGGAAGTGGAGATGGTGGGGAAAAATGAAGAGCTGATGCCAGGGGCTTAAGTGGTGAGCAAATATTTTGAGAATGATGAGGGCAATGAATGTACAGATGTGCTTTACACAATTGATGTATCGATTGTGATAAGAGTTGTACGAGCCCATAATAAAATGATTAAAAAAAGGTGACTCTTTGGAACGCAAAATTATAGAAAAGCATCATTGAAATAGACAAGCACACATCACCACATTGAATCGGAACTGAACAACACCACCCCCCTACATTTTCCCAGCCCACTCCCACTGGCCTTGGCCTGAGGTCATCTGTTTTAATATCACAATGGAATGCAGGTTTGTAAGTGCCCTTAGACTCCCCCTCTCCCCTTATCAAGAGAAGCTGTCTTTCAGGGACAGGAGTGTCCATCTTCCTCACCCACCCACCCCCACGCCCCCAAAGGAGGACAAGCTAGACATGAAATCCAGGAATGGGATCAGAAACCAAGGCGCCTGAAACTTACCTAAATATGCTTTTGTTTTACTTCTGTCAATACCACTTAGTGATATATGTATTCTAACTTGCCTTTTCTTCTGCTCTCTGTATTCTGCCCTCCCGGAATGATATAAACGAAAATCGGCCAGGGGAAAAGGGGCTGCAGTCTGGAGAAAGGTTCCCTTTGAACATTTCTGCTGCAGCCCAGGCTAGCCTGATATTAAAAAAGACTTCAATAATTCTAATTGGACATTGTAGTGGTCTTTTATCTGAACCCACATCATTAATACCAATCACAAGTAAAATTGTGCTGACGATTATCCAACCATGGTTGCAGCAGTATATTGACAGGGAGCTTCCAGAAATTCAGAGTGGATTCAGAAGAGGATGTGGAACAAGTGACATTATTGCTGTAGTACATGGATCTTGGCTGAAAGTAGAGAATGCCAGAAAGATGTTTTATAAACTATGCAAAGACATCTGACAAAGTGGATCATAACAAACTATGGATCGCCTTAAGAGTGGGAATTCCAGAACGCTTCATGGTGCTCATAAATCAAGAGGCGGTTGTGCAAACAGAACAAGGGGATGCACCACCGCATGGTTTAAAATCAAGAGCGGTGTGCACCAGGGTTGTATCCTCTCACCATACTTATTCAATCTATGTGCTGAAAAATAATCAGAGAAGCTGGACTATGAAGAATGTGGCATCAGGATAAAAGGCTTATTAACAACCTCGCAGGCTGAAATTGAGAAGGACTTGAAGCACTTGCTGATGAAGCTCACGGATTGAAGCCTTCAGTGTGGATCACAATTCAAGGTAAAGCACCCCCAAAGCCTCACAACTGGACCGACAGAAGCATCGTGATACACGACACTGCAGTTGTCAAGGGTTTTGACTTGTGGGACCCACAAGTAATTAGTGCTTACCCCAAGAATGCAAAGCTACTTAATTACTTTTCTATTACTATAATTCACCAATCAACAGATTAAAGAACTAACTCATGATCTCAATCAAGAATACAAAGGCATTTGACAAAATTCAACTCCTACTCATGATTAAAATCATTGAAAGTAAACTAGAAGGGGATAGGCCTTGAAACAGTTCATTCTGGTTTAACCTCCTGATGGGAATTTGCATATTCCCAGCCCAGATGTACCCAATCAAAACCTGCAGTTCAGCAAGATCCCCACCAGGTGAGCCTAGGTTAAGAATGAATACAGCTGGGGATCAGTAAGAATCATCTGGGAGCCTTGTTAAACTGTGGATTCTAATTCAGAATATCTAGAATGGAAATGAAGGTTTTCAGCAGTGGGTCTTATCAGAATGAACGGGTTCGAAGCCTTGCCTGATAAAGGGCATCTTAATTGTTTCAGACATATCATCATCAGGAGGCACTAATCTCTGGAGGAGGACATTATGCTTGGTGAAGCAGAGGGCTAGCCAACAAGAGGAAGACCCTCAGTAAGATGGATTGACACAGTGGCGGCAACAATGGGCTCACACCCAACCCTTGTGAGGACGGTGCAGGACTGAGCCGGGTCTTGCTTTTGCTGTACTCAGGGCCCCTCTGAGTTGGAATGCACCACCACCACCCAAAGCATATTCTTAATAGAGAAACATCAACAAAGGAAATAAGGATGCTTAACATTTCTATCCAATAGCATTCTGGAAAGGCCTAGGCAGTCAGTATAGTAGGATAAAAACAAACAAAAAAGCCCAAGACACAAAGTCACCATCATTCACAATGATCCTTTTTTAGAAAACCCAATAGATGTTATTAGAATCAATAAGATTCCCCAGGTAAACCACCAATACATAAAACATGAAGTGTGTTGTCACCAGCAATAAGCAATTTTAAATGCCATCATTTGAGCGATAACTAGCCCAGAGGGCGAAGCTGGAATGGAAGCCAAGGTCTCTCCCTGACTCTCAGTGGTGAGAGGACCTCACAGAGAAGCTACCGCGCTTCTCTGGTGTGGTGTGGTGTGGTGTGGTGTGGTGTGTGTGTGTGTGTGTGTGTGTGAGCTTCCATAGCATGAATGCTTCCCCCACTTGTGTTGATGCCACCCTGAGAGGGAGGCCCAAGTTGGGGAGCCTTCTGGTGCCCGAGTGGGCAGCCAGTTTGCTCAGCCTGCAAGGAAAGGCTCACCATTGGTAGGATGGAGATGTGGAGAGAGGCAATGGTAACGGGCTTTATCTTCTTGATCTGGTTCACCGGGGGTATGATTTCCACAAGATTCATCTCCTTGTTGGCTTTCTCCCCCAAGCAAATCTGAGAAGAGTTGAAACAGACAGAACTATCTCACCACACGGAGGGCAGATGGGAAAACCCTGTTCTTGTCTGGTAGGACCGGAGACTCCCACCCTCCTCTTCTAAAGGGGGACCCAACCCAGTTCTTCCTTCCTCACCTGGGGGGGGGGGGCGGGGGCACTCACCGCAGTCAGCAACAGCCTACAGTCGTGCTTCCCCTCTATCTGGGGTCTGAAGGTCCAGGTTGGCATCCCCTGATTAAGCTCACAGCCTGGGGAGGGAGGAAGGGGAGTGGGGCACGGAGGCTCAAGAGAGGTGCTTCCCCCCTCCTTTCCGGCCCTCACTCAGCCCCCATGCCCCCAAGTGCAGGCTTTGGGGACAGATGCTGGGGCATTGTCCGCCTCTGTCTGGTGAACTCACCCCAGAGGATGCTGGTCCCCTTCTCAGACCCGCTGCTGGTGCTCCATCGAAACATGCTTCGGGGTGCAGAAGCTGGGGGTGGAACAAGAGCTGTAAAGAAGGGGAACCCGCTCCCTGAGACCGCCTGGCCTGTGAGGGGGGAAACTCCTAGACGACCGGCACTAGCTGACACACCGGTGGGAGGATACACAAACCACACACAGAAGCACGGATTGAAAGGAGGACCAGCTGGTGGGATCTCCTACCACCCCCTGCAGAGAAGAGCCCCGGAGAGGGCGTGCCATCCTTACAGGGTGCTGAAGGAAGGGCTCTCACGAGGGTCTTTCTCTGCCCCTCCGCAGCCTGCGTGCTCTCAATCATGCCACTGGTCCTTCTGCAAACAATCCTCCCGCGAGGGCTCCCACCCCAGGCTCCTCGGCCGATCGCAGGCATGATTAAGAAGCCGGGCGAGACCCGGAGGTGGTTAATCAGAGAGCCCCTCCCCTCGCCCCTCCCCCTGGAGGCCGTGTGAAGGCGCCGATTGCTTGGCGCCCGCATCCGGGGTGGGCTTCTGGTCTGGGCGGTCTGAGTCCACACTCCAACTTCAAGGTCTGGGTGGGGCCGCGAGCACGAGGCCCTTAACAAGCGCCCAGGTGAGGCTGCGCTCGCTGCGAGCAGCCCTGCGGCCACCCGGGGGTGCGGAGGAGCTCGACGTGGTCGAACCCCTGGTGGCGCAGGGGTTAAGCGCACAAGGCTGTGGGGTGGAGCCCTGCTCCCCTAAAGATGTACGGCCTTGGAAACCTTCCGGGGGGTGGGGGGCAGTTACACTGTAATGGATTCCTGGGTAATGGGGGTTTGTAAAACCTGCTCTCTCCTCCCAAGGACAGCAAGCTCCGGAGCGGCAAGCGGGGCGAGACGCTGCCTCTCGCGCCTTGGGAAGAAAGGCCAGTGTCCGGTGAAGGACCTCAAGCGCGGGGAGATGGAGGGGCCGCCAAGGAGGGGCAGGCCGTCCATGAGATGGATGGACAGTGGCTGCCATCACGGGCTCAGGCATTGTGAGGGTGGTTCTGTCGTGCTCGGGTCGCTGTGCGTCAGAACCAAACCGAGGATGGTTCTAACCACAAGAAGAATGCGGTGCCTGGGTTATGCGTGAGGGCAGAGGTTGGCGGTTTGAACCATCGTAGGGCCAAGGTTTCCAGCGAGGAGAGTCCTGCGTCCATTTCTTCTGTAGCGAAGCGTGTTCAGGACCGGGTGGGGTGGAGGAAGGGACTGGAGAGCCTGGGTGAGGGGGAAGACCTTGGCATGGGCCGGTGACTTTAACAGGTAGCACTCGACAGGGCTTCCGAATCCACCGCCTCCGCGTGATTCCGCCTCAGAGCCACCGGAGATGGGGTTTCCGAGGCTGTCTGTCCTAACCGGAGCAGGCAGCCTCATCTCTCTCCAGGGGAGCAGCTGGTGAGTTTGAACCACTGACTTTGTAGTTAGCAGTCCTTCCGACGCTTCCCCAACTGCGTCCCAGGGCTCCTCACAGGGCCAGGGCGTGAGCAGCAGGAGTTTCTGTTAATCCACCCCCTTGCAGCTCTACTCATCAATCACCAGCTGGGGAGTCAAAGACACAGGGAGTCCTCTCATTGCCTTCTGACTTCAGTCCGTCTGACAACCTAGGCTTCGACGTCCTTTCTGGCACTTTGATAAGAACTTCTGCTTTGCAGGAACCAGCGTTTCCTCATCTTTTTAAAGTCAACTGGGAGAAATAACTTCCATACAATAAAATGCACCCGCCTTAAGTGAATAATTGGATGCATGTTAACAGCTGTCTTTACACATAGGCGCCCCAGGGTGGTGCAAATTACCATGATTGGCTGCTAAGGGACAGCCTAGAGGTTTGGGGCTACCAGGAGGTACCTCAGAAGAAAGGCCTGAGGATCCACTTCTCAAAAACCACCATTAAAATGCTGTGAAGCTCAGGTCTACTCTGGCACACCGGAGTGTGAGTCAGAATCAACTCGATGGTAAATGGTGGTGGACACACCCAAGTAGTTATTGTCAGTCCTGGAGAGAAAATGATAGACATCTCATCCGTCCCCAAATGTCTTGTTTCTCTCACAGTCATTTTTCTTCCTCACCCGGCTAAAACAAAAAAATTGGCCTAGGCCAGCTTTCTGACTCTTAAGTACAGCCCGCTCTAGAACCTCATGTGTGGTGATAACCTTCTTTGGCGCACAGCAGCCCTGCAGGTGCTGTGGGTGAGGTGAGGGCTGCCAACCACAGGCTGGTGCCCCACAGGATTAAAAGGTGACTGCTCCAGCAAAGATTGAGTCATGGAAACTGCCTGTAGGGCTGTCAGGAGTTCAAAATTAGATTGATGCTGTGGGCTGGTTTCGGTTTTCTTTTCCCAGAAAGTGAGATTAAACCCCATAAGGTGGCCCGTTCCTTTTTTATTGTGGAGCAGTATTCCATAGCACTGTGCTTCCTTCAGCGGCAGCTGCGGATGGACACGTAGGCAACAATGAATAAAGCTGTCAACCATTGCCTTCAGAGGAGTGGTGCCACGCAGCCAGTTCTTACTGGTGCACCAGAACCCATGCCGTTTTGTTTTGTGTGTGTGTCAAGTTTGGTGAACTGGCTATTAAAATGGCACTTGTAATCAGGGTTCTCTCTAAGGTGGGTGGCTGCCCTGCCGCCCCATGTGGAAATCATGGGTTTACACTCCTTATTCTTTTTTAATGTTCATCTGCACAATGGTATATTCTTTTTTTTTTTAACATTAGGGGCTCATACAACTGTCATTCCAATCCATACACACATCAATTGTGTAAAGCGCATTTGTACATCGTTTCTCAAAACATTTTCTCTCCACTCAAACCCCCGACATTAGGTCCTCATTTTTCCCCTCCCTCATGAGCCCTTGATAGTTTATAAATGGGTATTTTGTCATATCTTGCCCTGTCCGACGTCTCCCTTCACCCACTTTTCGGTTGTCTGTCCCCCAGGGAGGAGGTCACACACAGTTCCATGTAATCGGTTCCCTCTTTCCTACCCATTCTCCCTTTACCCTCCGTTTTGCCACTCACACCACTGGTCCTATAGGGCTCATCCATCCTGGATTCCCTGTATTTACAATGGTATATTCTAAGCACCCGTAGTATTCTTTATTCTGGCCATGGGTATAAAAAATTAGACAGAACTCTGCTTGTCATATTTGTTTATTGACTTCATAAAATCATACTTTTGATGAAATACTACAGTTTTATTCCTTTGCATGTGTTGCTTCAATAAACAAATATATAACATAAAAAGTGCCAAACGACCAGACATACACATTCATTTCAGGTTTGTGTTACGCTACAAATTCTCACAAGATATAATTATAATTATGAAATTCCTGAAACTGTTCAAAGAGCTAAAAATATTGTCAGAATTAACTGTTGTAAGTTCAGCAGAAGTGGAAAGGGGTTTTTCAAAGATGAACATATGTTCAGAGAAGTCACCTGTTTCTAATATATCAAACACGATGACTATGGTCTAATTGGCCTACCTCTAAAGGAATAGGATCTTACTCTTACAGTGAAAAGATGGTTTAGGGATGAATCACACAGCCAATGTTGCTCAGATAAAAGCAAGGAGTATTTCAAGTGAGGGTGCCAATCAAGAAGCAATATGGTACCTTAAATAAGTTTTATTGTTTTTTGTCAGGTATTTAATATTTTTAATATTGTCAAACTTTCTTATATGACAGTCTAGTTTTGTGTTACCTCTTGTTCTCATTTAAGTATTAATTGTATGAAATAATAAAATACCTTTTGGTGTATCTTTTTTGGGTACTTATAATGGCCATTAGGGCAGAGAGCCGGTTGTTAAATTGTCTGAATCCCACTATTGGTTCAGAGTAAGCTTTTGTGTGGTCGTTTGTTTCTCGTAAGTAAATACTCAAAGTGGGATGGCTGGATCATATGGTGAGTGTATATTTGTTTATACAAAACTGCTAACGGTTTCCCCAAGTGGTGAAACCATTTCACATGCCCATGAACAATAAACCAGTTCCATATCTTTGAAGACTCGCTATCATCAATGTTTGTGCTGCACGCTATTCTAGCGGACATTCAGTGCAAGGCTTTCATGTGTTTCTCTGGTAGGTAGTTATGTTAGTTATCTTATCGTGTGTTTATTGCTCACTGGCCTATCTTCTTTTGTGAATTATTTTAAAATCTTTTGCCAATTTAAAAATTAACTTATTGCGTTGTAGTCTCTTTATTGTAAGTTAAAAATATTGCTATAAAATCAAAGACTCCTTTATTAAACAGTAATAGGAAAATGTGAAGCCTTCCGTCTAGGTCTATACACTTCAGAAGGTGGTTGCTTCCACCTTTCTAAACCTTCCCTGAAGAACCCTGTGCTCTGTGATGGCCAACAGGGCCATTTGGGCGTCCCCAACAGACTCAAAGTGTGCTCCTTGGAGTGGTCTTTGAGTTGAGAACGAAAGGATGCTGGAGAGGCAAGAGGGGCGGTAGGGTGGATGGGGCAAAGGCTTCCCAGCAGCAAAGTTCTAGTAGGGCGGCCCTTGCTTCCCTCGAATCAAGTGTGTCGCTGTGAATAGGAAAACTCCTTGGTGAAAATACGCTGACCTTTTTCCTCACCAATGCAGTTTTTCTATTTCCTTAAAACTTTTTCATAAGCTCCAGCGACTGTTCTGATCCTTTTGAGAAAAGATTGTTATGATTACCTGGGTAAATGACATGGGGGTGGGAGCATAGCTCACAACCTCTGGCTTCCTTATTGCCATGAGACGGCAGAGGTCAGACCTGCCTCCACCCTCCATCCTCCTTTACCTGTTCTGACCGTTCCTCCCAGGACACTTGACTTGTATGACATGTTTTAATGGGCACAGAACTCACAGACAGTACTCACAGTTGAGGGGGTTTATTAGGGAAGGCAACAGGAAACCATAACGCAGGATCAGTAAATAGTAAGCATAGAGTCGTCAGTGCACAGTAATACCTCTCCGCTCTTTCCATGGGTCAGGAAGACAGCCTGAGGCTCGGCTTCACAGCTGCATCATCTCCACACTGCTCCTCTGTTCTGTTCTGTTCCATGGTCGCCCTGCCACAGCCTCTGGTCTCGACTTCCACTACTTCAGGCAAAAATCCACTAGTGGTTCTTTTTCCAATGGTTCTAGGATTTCTTTCTCCTCTGGCTTCTGAGATGGCTCATTCTTATATGGAGGTGTGGCTTTGTCTTTCAGCAGACGCTATCTCCAAAGGAACAAAGGGTTGTGATTTGAGTCATGCCCTCTACTAACGTGGAGACTTAATCCTGTGCATTAGCGTGGCACCAAACTCCCTCAAAAATGGGCTATGGACACAGGCACAGTGACCAGAATTTGTAATCTATAAGGGATGATGGCTAGAAGGGCCCTATCAATTAACGACATCGCATCACCCTTTG